ATTTAGTAATTCCGACAATGGTCCCCCGACTATTGTGATTTTCCAAAATTGGTCCTCGACTTTTAATTTGGACGAAAAAGACACTTCACTTTGTAATTTATTCCACCAATGGTCCTTCTATTATTTATCCATCTCTTAGCCGTTAGTTGGGGGGCAAAATGGTATTTTCATTAGCTTCTTTCTTCAACCTGCATTTTCATCATTTCTTCTAACTTGTGTTTGTTGCCGCTTGCCACATTGGTTTCCTGGTGAGCATCTCAACGAAGATGCAGCCCAGCGCGATATCCTTTGCCGCCGTGTATGATTTCCAGGTTAAGGACTCTCGCGGTGCGTACGACAACGTCGTAAACATTCTCCTCCGGAAAACATGGCGAGCCCGAGGTCGCAGAGCTTGAGGCAGTGCCCTTCGTTGTACTTTTCGAGGAAGACGAGAACGTTGCGGGGCTTCAAGTCGCAGTGGAAGATTCCGACAGTGCGCATGCAATAGATACCATTTTCTTTTTAATCACGAAAGGATTTGTTTATTTGCATACTTGAATTTCAAAATAGAAGATATACAGGGCATCCATCCCGGTTGGAAAAATAAAATAGAAAAAATAGAGAATCTCAGAATCAAGAAATGTTAGGGATGATTAGAGATCCTGAATGATTTATCTCCAGGGCAAACCAAAAAACAAGTTCTCCAAGTAACTGATGAAATGAAACGGCACACATATAATCCTCTTTTATTTCTAAACCAAGGATGAACTCAAAATGGTTCACCAACAAGTGTAGCTAGACTTCTTGGTGACGATGACTTGACTAGTAACCCCAGTAATCATTTCGAATTTCATCATCAAACTTCTTCTTTAGTTTGGGGTGCTATGCAATGTATTCCTCTGTTGTCATCGTGCTGAGTTTTTTCTTTAGCTCTTGGACATCTACAATTTCTTTTTCCAATCTTTCAGACTCCTTCAGTGATTGCTTCTCAGCTTCTTTCAGCTCAACCAACAAGGCATCAAACTTGGGTTTATATTGGGGTGTGACTTTGTACACATATTTAGGTTCCTGACTAAACTTGGTTTGGAGCTAGGAGTTGACCTCATCGAATGCACGATGAAGCATAGCGAACTCTTTGCGAGCCTCATCGGACACGAGAAGCTTCGCCATTCCTTCCTTGTCGATTGTCCTGCCAGCCTTGAACGCGACGTCGGCAATCTTTTTCCCTGCTCCGCTCATTCTCTCTTTCTGTCTCTACGCCGGAATCTGTATTGAAATGTAAAAGGGCTCGCCGATATTGCAATAGATACCGTTGAGAAGCTGAAAAGTGTAACCTGCCGCCATTAACTCCGGCATCCCACCGGAAGCCTCGATGATGTCATGGAGGGTCCCCTGATTCATGATCTCGCGAGTTCTCGTTTGTTCGTATCGCCGGAGAAGGAGAGTTGGGAAGAGATACTCGGCGCTGGGATTAGTCAACATATGCGTTAAGTACGAGCACATGCGACGCTGGCGGTGAAGAACCGGACAGAAGGGATATCAAGTGACAAGGCAACCTTTTCCGCCCATAATTGCACGACATCATAGATTAGCAAATCCAGGTTCAAGGTTTTCAAGAGATTGGTGAAATTAGGTTCTGTCATTTTCATGACCTTTTTGAGGGCGTCGTGGAGGTGGAGTGGCCGGGAGGCCATTGGTGATCTGGTACTGAGGAGGAAGATCCGGGGATTCTGGAAGATGGAGTTCCAGGAATCGAATGCAGGTTATAGGAAACGATGAAGATAGAGTTCTAGGAAGATCCAGCGATTCTTCGTCGAGATGTCACCGGGAAACTCATGTGGCAAGGCGGCAACAAATACCAGTTAGAGGAAACGATGAAAATGCAGGTTGAAGAAAGCAAGCCAATGAAAATACTATTTTGCCCCCTAAACTAACAACTAAGGGATGGATAGATAACGGAAGGACCATTGGTGAAACAAATTAGAAAGTTAAGTGTCTTTTTCGTTCAAATTAAAAGTCGAGGATTAATTTCGGAAAATTGCAATAGTCGGGGGACCATTGCTGGAATTAACTCGTTAAAAACATATAAGAAAACAGCAAGATTATTAATTAGACACAATCTAAGGTTCTAAAGATTTTATTTTTGAAGAAACTCTTATATTTTTAAAGTTTCTTCACAGTTAATTTTAATATTATTACCAAGACTATGTGGTCTAATGGTACCCGGGTCGTTGGACTTCTATTTGGAAGATTGTGAGTTTGAGCCTCAGTGGAGGCGTTATTGGTTCTTTGTGTTTTAGTAGGTTGAGAAAGTATATGAATAGATACTACAATGTAATAGAGCCAGTCGCATTCAAAAAAATTTTAATATTAAGTAAGAGTATAGAAAAATTAATAAACTCGTATTGTAGTATAATGGATATCATGCTAATTTATTATTTAAATACAAAATTAAATAATACTAATATAAATGAGTTAATACCTCCAATGGTCCTCCGAGTATTGGAGTATTACCAGCTGTGGTCCCCCAACTCTAAAATGACCAGTAGACACTGATCCTACTAGTTTTAAAAAATAACCACCCATGGACATGGACCGTGGTCCTCCGTTAACATTTCTGTCAAAAGGGCATTAAGTGAGAGGGCAAAGGTGTCATTTCACCGTTAGTTTCTTTGTTCCTTCTACGTTGACCTCTCTTTCCCTCCCAAATTGAGTTTTCCCTAGCTTCCCACAGAGTGTGAAATAGTTGGGCATCGTCGATCCTCTTCCTTTGCCGTCGCAATCTCCAATTGATCACTAGCCTCAACTCAACGATCGGCGGTCACCTGGGCGATTTTGCAATTTCCAAGGTCCGTTGTCGGCGCATGCAATGACGATCCAACCCGTCGATCATGGAATAATTGATGCAATTGTACTCCCCTCGTCTTCAAGGTCAATTGCAAGTGATTATATTGATGATCGGTTGCAGGCGACGAACAAAGAAACTATTTGTAGCCTTGGTCTCGGCGAGACGGGGGCTACGTCCGCTGGGGGTTTGAACTTTGTTCGACAAGCCCCCTGCCGGAATCCTAGCTCTAGCCACCAGGCTTCGTCGTGGACAATGGCTGTCGTTGGTGGGAAGATTCATGACTAGCTTTGCAAGTGGAGGCTTCAACCTCATCTGTCCCGGTCGGGTCTGGTGCTGTTCGCCCAACTGGCGTACCTACTGCTCCAAGTCTGGGAACATCTATGGCACCAGTGACTGAAACTAGTGTCAGTGTGATGACTTCTGTGGTCCGCCGGCGCATGTGTCTCAGCTGGCTAGGTATAGGCCTAAGGTAGGTTAGCTCTTGCTTTAGGGCTATGTAATTTGGGGGAAAACTCAATTTAGGGGGAAAGAAAAACGTGGAAGGAACAAAGAAAGTAATGGTGAAAGGAAATCTTTGCCCTCCCTCTTAATGCCCATTTGACATAAACGCTAACGGATGATAAATCGGTGATTTTTTTTTTTAAACTAGTAGAAAGTCTACTGATCGTTTTAAAGTTAGGAGACCACAATTTGTAATACTCCAATGCTTGAAGAACTATTGGAGGTATTGACTCAATATAAATTTATGTTGGTCCTCGTGAAAATCAAGAAGGATAAATGAAATGTGTAATTAATAAAACTATATAACTTGAGGCTACAAATCACAAAATAATTCATTTAATTAATTGGAAGATGGAAGATTAGAAGCAAGCCAATTAGCCAACTTTTACATCAAATACAGATAGGGATCACAATGGGTCGGGGTGGGTTGGGGAGGGCTCTATTCATTACTCGATTCACCTTATATTTTCTCCAATCATCCCCAACTTCAACCCCTATTAGGTGGACTTTTTCAAAATTTACCACTGTCCCACTAAATGCAAGTGTTCACTACAGGTACCCACCACTTATTATCTTATTAAAATATTTTCAAATAATATTGAAATTATTTACACATTAGCTAATTGTAGAAAATGTTGAGTAATTTAGCTGTTAGTTGATAGCTGATTACATGCAAATTGACTTTCTCAAAAAGCTGATCAAAAAAGCTGCTCAAAGCAGTTTTTTAAATTTTAACATTTTGGAGCAATAAACTGTTATAGAAAGCTAATTAATCAAACAGTTTAATTTTATTGAATGTTTAACCAAGTCAAATAGTTAATAGTGATCAAATAAGTCAAATTAGCTGAAAAGCTAACTATGTTACCGAACATGACCAATATATAAAAAATCATGTACTTTCAAATAATGTACTTTATGTATAAAAATAATGTACCTTTAGTATATTAAAAATATACTATTTATTTATAGTTCACACAAATGTGTGGACCATGGTTCATGGAATAATGATTGGTTTTAGGAGGATTTTATATATAAAACCTGAATCCAACTCAACCTACTGTGGGTTTAATTTTTTAAAACTCAGCCTGACCCACCACCTATTATCACAAAAAAAAAAAAAAAATCGATCATCCATAACAGATGAATTCAGGTGAATATTCGTTGGACAGATTGAAATTGACATCGCTAAATACGGAAAATGTTCCCAACGTTGAGTTCCTACTTGTGAAAGAACATGATTAGAACATTAATTTTTAAACACTTAATATATTCAGTTATGTTCGGTTACATCAATTTAAACGAGTGCAATTTTTTTTTCAAAAAAATACTAGTATTTTCACCCGTGCGATGCACGGAATGGAATTGTTGTAATATATTAAGAATATTTAAATCGATATATAATTATTTAAGAGTTAATTTCACCAGAGGTCGCTTATCTTTCCTGACAATTCCAAATTTAATCCTAGGCTATAGTTATTAATTAATACGATTTATTCTATGTTATAATTCTTACGTTAATATTCTTACTATTATTATTAACACTTTCTTTTGAAGGCAACCATGCGTGGTCATTTTATAGATAAACCAAAATAGAGTCAGGGGGGACTTCATCCCCATACAAAGCTATAGCCTATTCTGAAACTGTAGAAGCTAAAGTATGAGCTAATAAATTCTAAGATCTAGGAATAAAATTAACTGAACAGAAATCAAAAGTAGATATGCAAATTTTGCAAGCATCAATAGCATAGCCGATGTATGATCTGAGTGGGGGTCCTCTTGAGGACAGATAACAGTGTAGCACCTGACAATCCATGTAGATCTGGACGGTGTGCTCGCCCCGGGCGCGTAACCAAGATAGGGCTTCCTTGCACGCAAAGGCCTCAGTCATAAGTGGGGAAAAATAATCCGGCAAGGGGGCATTGTATGCCACAACGAACCTTCCATCGGGTTCTAGCAGAACCGCTCCTACCGAGGCCGCGTTCGTAGCATGTTGGTAGGCGGCATCCATATAGCATCTCCGTGAGGCTACGACGTAGGCAGCCTCTGGCACGGAAAATTCTCCGGGTGGCAGTGGCGTGGACGGCAGTCCGGGCGTGGGGGCGGCAGCAGCTCTACCATCGGTAGCCATGACGTGATGTACAACATTCCATGCGTGCATGGTATCTTTCGCACTGGCAACTATTTTCCTGGGTAAGGGTAGGCAGACATCCCAAATCGCTGCATTCCGTGCTCTCCATATATGATAAAGTATTGCAGCTGCATATATAATCCCATTAGTGTCTAGAACATTCAAGATTGCACTAAACCACTCATGAAAAATATTTTTCACAATATTAGGGAGTGGAAGGTCAGATAGTGTCCATATGGTGCTAGCATAACCACACGATACTAAGGCATGCAATGTGTCCTCTTGTACAATTCCACACATGGCACAAATAGGATCCACATCCACCCTCTTTATAAGCAAATTATTCATGGTTGGGAGGATATCACTTAGGGCTCTCCATAGAAATGTCTTCCATTTTGGGGGGATTTTTAATCTCCATAAAGTAAGCCATTTATCAAACCCTCCATCATTACTACTCGTATAATTTCTTACAACATGCTTGTAGCCATCCTTAACTGAGTAGGTGCCCTTAAGATCCCCATGCCAGTACCAACTATCATCATATTCCGGGAATACTGGTATTTTTAAAATTCGGGGTATATCACTTGGTTGGAAAATATCTGAGAGGATGTGGTGATCCCAATTTCCAGTCCCTGGATCAATTAATCCACTCACTTTGGCTCCTGCTAATTGGGGTGGCATTTTAGTGTGGATCATAGGATCTAAATCATCCTGTAGCAATGGGTGTTCCCAAATTAGCGTTGAATTTCTAGTCCCAAAACACCGCCTTACTCCCCCACAGACCAGTTCCTTTGCTGCCATAATACTACGCCAATAGAAACTGGGATTGTTCCCCAACTCTGCTTCATAAAAGGTATGCCTGGGGTAATATCTAGCCCGATAAACACGAGATACCAGTGAGTCAGTATTTGTTAACATCCGTCATGCCTGCTTACCCAACATTGATAGATTAAATGCTCTTAGGTCCTTAAAACCTAGCCCTCCAAATTTCTTTGGGACACACAACTTGTCCCATGCCCTCCAATGAATACCTCGGTCAGTTCCTGTCCCCCACCAGTATCTATTCATTGTTAGTTCAATAGCCGTGCAAACAGAAATAGGCAACAAAAATACTCCCATCGAAAAAGTAGGCATTGCTTGAGCCACACTTTTTAATAGGATTCCTTCCTAGCTTGTGATAACAACATTTTACTCCAGGATCCAATCATCTGCCTGATTTTATCTTCAATATATGCAAATGCCTCTCTCTTATTTCTTCCCACAAAAGAGGGTAGGCCCAGGTATTTACCAAAATTAGGAGCCTGAGTAACCTGTAATATTTGCGCCACCTCATTCCTGTCATCCATAGTCATATTCCTGCTGTAGCATATACAAGACTTATGGTAGTTGACCACCTGGCCAGAGAAAGTCTCATATGTTGCCAAACAATTCTTTACCTGTGTGGCCTCATGTATATTAGCCTTGAAAAATAGAAGGCTATCATCCGCAAAAAACAAGTGAGAAATTGGTGGAGCACCCCTAGCAACCCTGCACCCATGCATGGATCAATTAGCTATACTCTGCGCCTGCTGCAACAACATAGATAATCCCTCCGCACATATAATAAACAAATAAGGAGATAAGGGATCTCCCTGCCTTAGCCCACGTGTGGGTGTCAGGCAGCCAGTCCGCGTTCCATTTATCAAAAAGCTATTGGATACAGAAGAAACACACATCATAATAAGCTTAATCCATGTTTCATCAAACCCCAGTGCTACAAGCATTCCCTGTAGGAAAGGTCATTCCATACGATCATAAGCCTTGGTCATATCCAATTTTAGGGCTCCCCAGCCAGCAACTCCACATTGCTTCCTATTCAAATAGTGCCCCACCTCCGCAGCTATCAAAATATTATCAGTAATGAGTCTGTCAGGCATGAACGCACTCTGCGATTCTGATATAATATTCCCCATCATTGGTTTCATCCTGTTCGTGATCATTTTTGCCATAATCCTGTACACTACATTACTCAAAGCTATATGCCTCAAATCTGTTACCAACTCAGGCATATTCTTCTTTGGAATCAATACAATATTCGTATCATTTAAACTAGGGGGAAAAGAGCATGAATTCAAACAGCTTAGTATAAACTTCGAAACGTCGCCCCCTACCACATCCCAGAAGTGCTGATAAAAGCCCGGATTCATTTCATCCGGGCCTGGAGCTTTATCAGGAAACATCGCAAAGATGGCACTCTTAACCTCATCAATCTCAAATGGCCGCGTCAAACTCTCATTCTGAGCGTGAGTGACTCTAGGCGTTATTCTCTGGAATAACGATTGCCCCGAAGCAGGATTTTCAGAGCAAAAAATCTTATCAAAATAGTCAATTATAACACCCGTCATGGCACTTCCCTCCACCCACTCCCCATCATCATTCATAAGTCTAGACAATGTATTTTTCTTTCTACGATGAGAGGCATACCTGTGATAATAAGTCGTGTTGGCATCGGCATTCTTAAGCCAGTGTTGTTTGGCTCTTTGCTTCCAGTAAGCATCTTCTTGCACCTCCATACCAGTCAGCATTTCTTCCAGACGTTGGAACTCAGCCAGAGAAACTGGATCTATACGTCCTCATAGGGCCAACTGTTCTTTTCTAAGAGTCAAGATGCGCTCGCCAAACTTATGAAACCGGTCTCCCCCCACCGTGAGAGCCGATTGCCACAGTGAAGTATACATTCCTGCAAGCCCCTATCTCTCCCATATTCCCATGACTTTTCCACCACCTTCCTACATCCTTCATCATATAACCAATCCATTTCGAATCGAAAACCCCTCCTCCCTGGCCTGCTCCGCTGCTCACGAATTCCCAGAAACAAAACAGAGTGATCCGATTTCCTAGTCAGTATATTCGTCACGGAGGCCTCTTGTACAATGCCACACCAGCTCTGGGAGGGCAGAACCTTATCCAATCTCTCCTCCATCCAGTTAGCTGTTCCCTTTCCCTTCTCCCATGTAAACTGATAGCCATTCATTGGTAGCTGAGACAACCCACATTGCTCAATAACATCCCCAAAGCCGCGTAGGAGATTATCAGGATGTGGGTTTTCCCCCCTCTTCTCATATTGATACACGAGCTCATTAAAATCACCAATCATAACCCATGGTAGGTTAGACCGTGATTCCAGTGTCTTAATCAACTCCCATGCCTTGTAGCGCCTATGACGCTCCGGGAACCCGTAGTAACACGTCATACGCCAATTCGGAAAACCAACCATACTCACCTCCACATCAATATGATTCTTCGAATAACTCAGCAGCCTTGCCGTATTATTCTTTCTCCACAACAAAGGTAAACCACCACTCAACCCATCATTATCCACATAGAACAGACCATCAAAACCAATACTGACACGGATGCGCTCAGCATGACTCCTATCAACCTTAGTTTCCATAAGAAATACAAAGTCAGGCTTCTTACGTGACACCAGGTCCTTAATTACTTTTAGATATTATTATTACCACTTATATTATTATTATTAGTTTCTTTTCAAATTCTGTTAGTATATAATGGCCGTGAGCCACAATAATAATATAACCATAATTAAATATTCTTGTATTGTATTTCGTGAGTCACAATAATAATATAACAATAATTAAATATTCTTCAATATTATATTCTTCTAGGATTTCTATTACCATCATTAATTATTCCATCATTTACTATAATTATATAATTTGACAAATTATAAAGCATTTTTTTTAGAAATTGGTGAGTCAAACCGCCTGCAGCAATTTGCGGTGGATAGATCTCGAAAAAATACGCGATTTCAAAAAAATATTTGTCCAAAACGGACAACTGAGTCAAAAGTTATGCCTTGGCAAACTTTTGACACTTTACAACTTAAAAAATAATAAAAAATTAATCGCCGGTTCAGCCGGCGAGGCGGCCGATTTCGGCCTCCCTCGCCGCAGTCAGCAGCGCGATTTTTGCAACACTAATATATAATATAGATATAGATTAGAATAGGAATAATATTACACAATTTTATAATATTAGAATTGAATTTTAACCCAATATATATAGTATAGATTAATATAGGAATTGTATTACACTATTTTATAATATCAGAATAGAATTTTAACCCAGAATTATTGTACGAATGGGAAAGTAGAAATCAATGTATATTTTAATAGGAAGAGAGATTTTTTAGGAATTGGGCAGGAAGTTAAAATTTCAGGATTTTGTTTTTATATATAGTATAGATTTTGTGTAAAACTATAAAACTGCCCTTATGTATGTGCTCTAGTTCTAGAGCTCTATTGTATATCAAGGAAGACTTTAAAACTGCCCAAGAGAAACATGGTTTCAGGCAAGTAAACTGTACTTATCATGATTAATGTAACATTATGTATATATTAGCTTACCTAAAATATACTACAACCATTCATTGGTTGTTGTTAAAAATCCAAAACAGACTACTTGGCCAATCCAAAATAGACTATAACTATTCATTTGAGACATTGTTTGGTCCAATTTAGACTATAACAACATTGTTACATTATCACACAATATCTATTGGTTCTTTGCTATTGCTAGAGAATTCGGATGTTAATTTCATTAAAGATCTTGTCTTGTACTTCTTCTTCACAGCCGGCCTCGTATTCATTGGCTTGCCAATATTTGGAGCTTGTGTCTTCATCCTTTTTGCAGGGGTTGGTGGTTGTTATCATCCTCATCATCTACAAATTCAGGTTGTTTTTGCACTAGTATTTCTTTTGGTATCACATAGGGTTGATTTTCAGTAGTCTGAATTTGGTGAATTATTATAGAGACCAATTAGAAAGACCATTACAATGCAATAAGTTCTAGTCTTACTATCTGATGAGTGCCAAAGACACTTAGTTTTAAGGTCTATTATGGGTCTAGTTTGAACTCAATTATGATCCTTTGTGTACCTGTAATACCCCCGATTTTACCAAAACTTAAAAACTTAAATAAGAGATAAACAGTCTAAACATTAATCATTAAACAAGCGGAAGCTAAACTCTTAAATCGGGAAACTGCTATGCCACACCCATAAATCTATCGGTGCACAGACTAAGTCTAACAAAGCATCCATAACAACATCAAAAGTCTAAGGCACACAGGCCAACAGTCAAATAAAAAAGGAAGGCAAGAACTACGCTAACTAGATCCACTAGCGCTCTCTCCAAGCTAATCATAACCTGAAAAATATAGGGATAACCCGTCAGCTAGAGATGCTGGTAACCCACCAATACGCGTTAAGTAACATAATATATATATAGGCAAAACCATTTGAGACAAAGGAATACATGCAGTATATATATCATTTCAAAGCCAAGAAAGGGAACATCAAAGGACACAACACCACGCTCTCAACAAAAGACCGATCATCAACAACAATACACAAGACAACAAGGACAACAAGCAACATTCTCAACGATAGACACAACCTACTATCTTAATGGTAGAGTTCTCAATAGACATGCTCATAAGCAATAAACACAACAATCACATAATGACAAGTTTCACGTTCCAACCTTATACCTTAATACCACCCTTATGGCTATCCCGGCCTTATCTCAGTTCCAACCTGTACCTCCGAGTGCCACCCTGTACTTCTGAGTCCAACCTTATCCCTTCTAGGACCGTCGTCCCCCACCAATCTGCCGCCAATCACTATCGCCAATCTCTCAATACACGAGGGTACCATTAAACATCATAGTTGGACTATTAGCACGATTCAAGACACCAAATCCTAACATAGATACTTAGGACATCGTTCTAGACATACGAAACACCAAGAAGACACCCAAAAGCTCAACAATCCAACAAAATGAGGTCAAAACATCACATACCAAAAGATGGAACCACGGGAAAAACAACACCCAACATTCCACCATGTTGTACCCCGC